CTAACAACTTAAAAATTATTTTATTTGGACTTTGCAAATTTGCCCCAAAGTGAGAGACAGATAGACTTTATGCTCAGAATTTCCTCTAAATATTAAAATCCCTTTTCAGTTTCATGCTTTAAAGTGGCATCACTGTTAAAGTGTTGCTTCTCCATGATTTAATACAGGCTGACAAGTTGGAGCTCCACAAGCCCAACCTATCAAGCACAGGTGTGCCGTGAGCAAGATACTCTCTGGCAGTCACTGTCTGCAAGCTTTTACTAGGTATTAATTTTGGAATTGAAAAGTGAAGGCAGTGGAAGCAAAATTAAGACTGGAAATAAAGACTTGTTGGAAAGCAGAGAGCTTTTCGTGAACCAAGTGGCCCTGGCGCCTGAGTGTGTCTCCCGCATGGTCCTGTGTGTGCCAGCCTCGTTGGAAAAGGGAGCCGACACCTTCCTGGCCGCCAGCCTGACAGAAGTCGGCCTCAGCTGGAGGGACCGGCTGCTTTACTGAGGGCCGGTCTCAGGTTCACGTTCTTCTTGAAGGCGGAGTGCTGAGTAGTAGTGATGCTGCAAAACTACTCAGTTCTCTTTATTTTAGACTTTGGGGCAGAGAGAGAGAAGGAGGGGTGGGGGAAATACTGTTTCTCTGCAAGAACCTGTCCTTAAGTTGAAATGGAATCTTAATGTCTGTCTTGGAAAGATCAAGCCTTCGTAAATAGTGTTCTATCCAGTTGAAACTTGGCATTGTAGAGATTGGCAGCTATATCCTTCCTGGGGCTTTCAGGTTTTGAGGACTCAGGATTTGCTACCTGGTCTATGGGAGAATTTTCAGCCTGGAGAGACCTGGACATGTAATGTTATTCTTGACAGACTGTGGTACTAACTTCCTTGTCCAGGAGAAGGTAGGAAAGCAAATCATGCAGACTCGGGAAAAAAAATAAATGGGGCACAGGTATTGTGACCCTGTGTGGATCAGTCGAGGAGGAAATTAGCAAGAAAGGAGGGGAAGGAAGGAATAGTAGAGGATCTGATAACTGCATGTAGTTCTTCAAAACCTCCTTCATTTGGGGGGTAAACCTGACAAGTAAAACCAAATCCTGCTCTTCAATTGTTTTTAAAGACTGCAGAATTGCTTCATCACTCCAAGCCTAGCCCCTGGGCCAGCTTATGGCCCAGTCTGTCTAAACAGAGAGACCTTATTCATCAGTCTCACTGACCACAGCTCTTGTATTCACTTTGTAAATTTAGAGGAGGAAGTAGGCAGAGAAAGGAGAGCCTTGCATTCTGGGTAGAGGACGGCTTTGATCCTTAGCTGTCTAGGCCCCCTGGCTAGGTCCCGGTGGAACCCTGGGATTCCCCAGGCCTGGAGACGACGGCTGGCTGTGTCACAGGCATCACTGCACCCATTCAAGAGACCTTACAGTGAGGCACACCCTACGCAGACCCAGGCGTGACATGGGAGTGACGCCAGACTTTGAGTACAGGATCTCCCATTTGGCCCCGTTTTCTGGGGTCGGGCGAGTGTGACCTCTTAGGACCCACCCTGGAAGAAGAGTCTGCCTGATGGAAGGATGTGCTAAACCAGGATTTATACGTGAGTACAGTTGTCTGTACTATGAAGTGGCATATACAGTCCTAAAAAATAATCCCTGCATGATGTATTATGGGCTTATGGGAAAACGGATTCAAGGCAGAAATCTCAAACCTTATACCATGTTGTGATACAAGAAAATTCTCAGAATTTTAAACAAGTTCCTAATTTAAAAAAATTGCAGTAAATACAGAATGCTATTTTGATAAGACATGAAGGTTGCTTGGTGGAGGTGTTGATGGCAAACAGTTGTGGCTTTTGAGGAGAGCTGGGAGGAGCACTGCAGCTTTCCGAATTAAATGGGAAAGCAGAGATTGGCGTCTGTGGCTCATCGCTCCATTTCTTGTTTCCCTGAGCTGACCTGAAACAGAAACCCAGCCTTCCTGCCTCTGTGGCTCGCCCCTTCTTGCAGAGAAGCGTCTGCAGGACCCCAGCCGAGCTTAGAGGACACGTGTGCTCTCCTGCTGCAGCGAGTTAAGTTATCCTGTGTGCTCAGTCGTGTCTGACTCATTCCAACCCCATGGACTGCAGCCCGCCAGGCTCCTCCGCCCACAGGGATTCTCCAGGCAAGAACACTGGAGTGGGTTTCCATGCCCTCCCCCAGGGGATCTTCCTGACCCAGGGACCGAACCCGTGTCTCGTGTCTCTTGCATTGGCAGGCAGGTTCTTTACACTTGAGCCACCTAGGAAACCGCAGTTATCCTTAATGCACTGCAAATGAGTGCTTTTTGGTTTTCAGTTCCCCAGAAAGCAGGTTATTGGAAACTTGATTAAGCTTTTTTTAAGTGTCTGTGTTCTTTAATGTGATTACTTTATGCCCTCTGGCTAATGCAAAATTACATTTTCTCTCCTTTCAAAACTCGGCAATGCTTAAGGTTTTTCCTTTTCCTTTGCTACTTATAACCAGGACACTAACTCATGCTTTACTGAAAACAGCAGGCAATCACATGGGTAAAACGGAGAGACAGCTGTTGTGGATTGTTCTTCCGCTGATCATTATGTTCAACTGGATGGTGTTTTTCACATTTAGCTGGTGTTACTCAATAGCATAACACTTAGCACCTGGTGAAAAACTGCACATGAACAAACAGAATTTTGGTTTTAGTGACTTGACTCCTTATCTAATTTGCACCTTACAGACACATGTTGCAAGTGTATGTATATCAGCTTTCTTTCCCTCCCCATGTGATCCTTGGAATAGAATTTCCTTTTTTATGTAAGAGTTTGTGTTTTTTTCTTCAGTTCTCTTGTTTCTTCCATCCAACCCACTTTAATTGGAGTGACGAATCTAAGTTTCGCTTGTTTGCCCCTCAAGTTCCCAGCCCCCTACAACGAGCTGTGAATTTTATTTGGCTCCCTGTGTTTATGTTCTCCGAAGACAGACAGAGATCTGGCTGTTAAACCCTCAGGGAAAGGCAAAGGGGCAGGACTGGGAAGTCTGATAGCATCTGCTTCTGAAAGCCATTTGGCACAAAAGCCTCTTTACTCTGAAAGCAAAATGGAGTGAGCCCCCGAGAGCAGGAGGGATTCAGTCCAATATAACCCTTTTAGGTCTACATGGGTCTGTAGGATTGGACAGCCCCCACCTCTGTGGTCAAATGGGTGCTCACTCAGCAAGTGAGAGTCTTAATATTCTTACTGAATATTTAACACACTGGTCCCTCGGTATCTGTGGGAGAATGGTTCCCAGGACTCCCATGGACGCCAAGATCTGAAAACCCGAGTCCCTCACACTGTGGTGTGGTGTCAGAAGCCCTCTGCACCCGCTGGTTCTGCATCCATGGAAGTGCAGGGCTGACAGGGACAGGCCAGTTTGTGGCTTAGTCGTGTCCGACTCTTTGGGATCCCGCAGACTGCTCTGTCCACGGGGATTTATAAACAAGAATACCGGAGCAGGTTGCCATTTTCACTTCCGGGCATCTTCCCAACCCAGGGGTCGGACCTGCGTCTCCTGAGATATGTACCGGGCCGGGCTCTAGGTGCTTGAGGCACAGCACTTTTGGGGATACAGAAACCCTCCCTACGAAAGCTGCTCTACCGGGAGCTGGGGGCTTTTTTCACACCAGCTCACACCCAACATCACTTGTCAAAAGTAAGGAGCTGGAGCTTCTTTCTGGTCCAAAAGTCTAAAACGTAACTGCCAGCTCCTCGTGAGCAGTAGCTGTTGACTCATAGCAGGTCATGCCAATGTTTGAATTTGCGACACATACATACTCACTCTTTCTCATCTAGTGGCGGCTGAGTCCATGGCCTTCTGAGCCGGACCGCCTGGATTCGAGTCCTGACCACACCACTCAGCAGGTCTGAGATGTGGTCAAGTTATTTATTGCCACCTTCTTCTGCCCATTTTTAGATGGGGAGGTAATCTTATGTACAATATTGGCTGATGTAGGAATTAATTTTGATTTATATAAAGCAGATGTGTTTGGCCCATTAAAAGTGCTTAATAGCGATGCTTTATGTTTAATGTTACTCTTTTCCCCTCAGTGGACTTAACTCATACCTCCTACAGTTACCTCAGCACCTACAACTCCCAGGTGGACCTATGTACGTGTGGGTCGATCCCCAGCTCCTTTCCACCCACGACAGACGGCAGGCTCTTTGGTGGGTGTGAAGGTGTGGGGGGAAGACATGTGACTTCTGTCTCCCAAGGCCTGTAACCAGGCTTAGTGTACGTCTGCTGCATGAGCAGGAGAAGTGGTCTGAAACTCACTCCTTGACTGGCTGGGCACACTACCATAAAAATCCCAAATGCAGCGTCTTAGCTGCTTAATTTCTAGAGGAGACTTTGCTAGACACATTGATTTGAGCGGGCCAGTCCCAGCGCCCAGGACAGAGGTGCAGAGGAGCCAGCAGGACAGACACGGACACACAGCGTCGCAGGTGGGGCAGCGAGGTTTCTAGGGAGCAGAGAAGCATTGCTTGTCAGCCTAGTGTCCCGGAAACCAGGAAGCTCTACGGGACACAGAAGAAGGTGATGCAGTGTGAAGAGAGCTCAGGCAAGCCCTGCCGCGCTGAGCTGGTGGGCTGGATACAACAGTCCCTGGGAGGAGACGAGGAGGGCCTCGCGCCCCAGGCGTCCAGAGCCGGGAGCTGGGCTGAGCAGACGCGCTGACGGGCCCCTGGCGGCCACAGCTGCTGCGCTACTGGGCCTGCGCGTCCCGTCAAATGAGACGCCGAGCTAGGTAAGGGGCAGTTTTATTCACCATTTCCAACATTCAAATCGCATTACACAATTTTAAAACAGTCCTATAAAGTAACATTTTACTGCAATTTCCTAATGGAGGAATATCCCTTCCCAACCTTTCCCCACAAACTTTCAGCTCCCAGAGCAGGTTTCCTGTCAGAAGGCAGCTGTTGCTTCATCCTGCCCTGAGGAAGGAGTTTCAAGCACCACACCATTCTTTTCTGAAATTTTCTTCCTCCTACAGCCGATAATCCTCAGGTCTGAAAGACAAAAATCAGTGTTTATTTTTTTAACAACTCATTATTTCACTTTCTCCTGCCTAATACAGGAAGATGATTTTTCCAATTTAAAATGAAAGTAACTGTTCACCAAGAAATATCTCCAAATATTATGTCTAAATTTTTGGTGAAAAACATTAAGGCCAAATTACTGCAAAGTAGAATAGTTATGTGGCAATTTCCAAGTTCTTTTGAGAGTATAAATATAGGCCCCCATGTGCCAATACATGAATGTATGTACTAATAAGCCTGAATTCAATTTCCCCAAAGCCCTTTTAATAGAAAGGATTATATACAAAGATATGGATTTAACTAATAGCAAATTCTGAATGAGCAAATAATTTCCCTATTTATATTATCATACACTAAATTTAATTTTCAATATAATAGCGTACAAAACAATTGTATAAACACCAGTCCTTTGGTACATTAATTATACATACATGTATTACATATACATATGGTCTTTTATTATATACATACATACATAAGGTCTTTTCTTCATTTATATATTTATAGGATTAATCTTACCTGACAGTTCCTTCTAGTAGTAAATTAAAACAAAGAATATTTTCAGAGAAATGTTAAATTTCAAAAGTGGAGAAAATGAGGGAAAGGAACTTATAAAGTCTAAGAAGTGTTGGCGGTTCATTATCTTTTACAGAGTAGCGTATTTGTAGGTACTGGACTCCTATGGAATTTTCACAAGGAATTTAGTAATAAGTAATCTAAACAAAATAGATATTTCTGAAACAGCTGTAAAATATACAATAGTTAGAATTCCTTTAAAAGGTGAACTCTGTTTGCCCTGAAAAAACGTATCTCACCCTTTCTACAGTTATAGCGTATTAAAAAAAAAAAAAGAGACCAGATAGCCCAGACAGGAAGAGCAGCTTCCGGTATCTAAGTATATGAACGCCATTACACTTTAAAATTATCCAAATGTGCTTCACCATCATCAGTCTGTAACAAGAAGAGAAACTGCAGCATTCTGTTGCTGTTTTTGAAATCTCTTCAAATGTAAACACTGAATCCAAAGTCTGGGAGTGGCAGCTGGATGAACAACAGCTGGAGGGCTGCAAAGTGTGCCCATCTAGTCTTGGGTGCGTGACTCAGTACGGTCCAAGCTTCCAGTCAAGAGACACCAGTGCCTTTTAAGAAACAATTTCTTCTCCCATCCAGCTGGTTCACATAATTAAAAAAGGGAGGCGGTGATGCCACTGGAAGGAAATCTACAGTTCTAACAAGGAGTCCTGACAAGTTTCTGCAATTCCACTCAAAATTAAATGTGCTTCATCAGAGCCTGGTTGTTTCCACACCAAAAGGCAGTTTATTCACAATGAAATGACGAGAGGACCTTTTAGTGGAACTCAGGAGTAAAACAGGAAGCATGTGTGCAGGCTGTGGTCTGTTTGGTGAAAATGCTGATTGTAACCTGAAGGCAAAGGGGCTAACAGAGTTCGATTCTGTTCACGACCCCGTGGAGACAGTGCGGAGGACGGAGGTGAGGCCCGTCTGGACTGCAGCAGGGTGAGGGAGAGGAAGGGGGGTGAGGACTTAAAAGAGAAGGCCAACTCGTCCAAAGAAGGGAGAGAGCGGAGGGACACTGCAGAGGAAGGAGCTGCTGCAAGAGGACACTTCAAGGCTCACTATTAATCTTTAGTTTGAAGAACTCGGGAAATGGCAATGCTATCTGTTTTTTCAGGAGGGGGAATACAGGCAGAAGAACAAAGTTTGAAGGGAAGGAGCTTGGTTTTGTACATGCTATCTGGACATGGCAGGCAGCCAGTAAGCAGGATGTGGAGTTTAGGGGAAACGGGGCAAAGGGAAAGACATCTGAGAGTCTTTAACAGTCTACGGCCATAGCGCCTGAAGGCCCGATCTCTCGAGTCTCTACACGGACAGCTATCCCACCTCCCCAGTGGAAGCATTTTCACCAGTTCCCCACTCTGTCAGATTCAAATGTCTCAGAAATCCACATATACATAACCAGCCCTCCGTAACGGCCCCAGGGAGCTGCTCTGAGTCACTTTTCCCCGCCCTGTCCAATCTGGCCCCACAACACTCCCTGCTGCTGCCCAGATGAGAACTTTCATACCACTGGACTTGGGTACTTGATATTTTCTGCATCTGAAATATCTCTCATGTTTCCCTGCCTGGTAGACTTGACTAGTCCTGCAAAACCCACCCACAAAATCACGTGTTCTGGGAAACCCTACACCACCTTTCCTTTCTGAGGCTGGGCTCTTTTCCCTGAGACTGCCAAGGAACTCCAATGCCTGCTTCTGTTACACTGCGCTTGCCCTACGTAAATGAGTAAATACTGCTCTGAATGTACACAAGAGTTGGTGTCTATGTAGATGACAGTGCCGGGTGCTTACTAGACGCCGTGAAGTACATTAATCACCCCACAAGCACGGCCTCATGTTACCCTCCTAGCCACACCGTGAGAAACACACTGCTGTCAGCCCCACACGGCTGGCAAGGCGGACCCTCAGAGGAGCCGAGGGACTGGAGGACACGGGGCCAGTAGGGACGGGCAGGGCCCTACTGCAGACCTCGGACCCCCTGCTCGCAAGCCCCGTTCTATGCTTGTGTGCCCATCACGACAGGCACAGCCCCGACATAATTCATCTTATGCGTTCAGCAATGAGGACAGCGGCCTGCACGGTGTGGGGGCTTAAGATGCTCATCACTGTAGTGAACGCCTGAAAACGTCACTGCGTTCATAAACCAACCCTTTCCTCTTTTGGAATCTTTGGCAGATGGTTAATTTGCTTCAGAGGTGGCGGTGGTGTGGAGAACAGTATCATGGCCAAGGCACTAGATATTTTAGATGTTAGCAGAGCTAGAAAGATCAACTTATGTGGGAGGCAATTAAGAATAGTACACGGCTTCAGGAGGTACCCCTGTGGGAAAAGGAGGCATTACCGTAAGCATGGGTCTATTCTTCTCTCCACCCACACAAATGAAAGCTGGTACACATGCAACATGCTTGGTCTGCTCACTCCCTTGCACTAAAAGAAGGCAATCCAAGACAATATAAGAAAGGGAGGGGGCGGGTTATGTACCTGAGTGCATTTCCAACTTCAGTGGGCATGTGAATCACTTGGGTTCTTGTAAAAATGCAGATTTTGACTCAGTTAAGTCTGTAAAAAGTCATGATTCTGCATTTCTAACAAACTCCCCTGTGATACAATTCTGGTTCATGAACCTCAGACCTCCCACAGAGCTATTCCTAAGACAGAGGAGGTGACTAAAGATGCCAAAGAAGCACTTTCAGTAGAAATTTCTAAAGCTATGCTGTGCCTAATAGAAAATAACACAATTCCCTATTAGCAAGAATGATTCCAACTGATATATAGCATCCTTCTGGATCTTTACCCACCAGAGGACTCTCTTAATAGGCAGTTTTATACCTTTCTGACACAATAGCTAACTATAAAATATGGTAACATCTACAGAGGCTGGATACTAAAATTCTTTTGACATCTATCATCAAAGAAAACTATTAGTTTAAAAGATAATATATGTACAGCAACATTACCTTAATCAGAATTGAATTCTCAGATGTTGCTTACATACTTATTCTATTTTATGTTTAGATCTACATACTCTCCTTACTAGATTAAGTAATTTTTAAAAGCAAGAAATCTGGCAACTAGTATTTTCCTTTTCAGTCTATAGATACTTAAATGCTGTTTAAACTTTAATGTTTCTCATTCCAGGATTCTTGCCTGAAGAACCCCACGGACAGAGAAGCCTGGTGGATTTCAGTCCATGTAATTTCAGAGTCAGACAGGACTAAATGACTGAACAACAACAATTTGTAAATAATAACAGCTTTCATTTTACAATAGTTTAGAACCTCAGGAAAACTTTGGGAGACATTTCCAATACTGTTATAAAAAGCTTAAAAGTGAAAGTGAAGTCGCTCAGTCGTGTCCGACTCTTTGCGACCCCATGGACTGTAGCCCACCAGGTTCTTCCCTCCATGGGATTTTCCAGGCAAGAGTACTGGAGTGGGTTGCCATTTCCTCCTCCGGGGATCTTCCTGATCCAGGGATCGAACCTGGGCGTCCCGCATTGCAGGCAGATGCTTTACTGTCTGAGCCACCAGGGGAGCCTATAAAAAGCTATTAATTTTTAATAGAAAATTGATAAAATATAACCTATTTTAATGAAATTAGCATGATCTTTTCTTTATACATGTAATACAAAGTATCCAAAATTGGGTATACTAGAGTTGCAGCAAAGCAACTCTAGTTGCTGTTGAGACTAGCCTGTTGAGAGAAAATTCTAGTTTAGCTAGAGGCACTAAGCAATATTTAAATAAGCAACAAAGACCAAGATATGAATTCATCACACAATGAATTAAAAGTCAGTTCCTCTTTATGGGAGGTAAGAGTCCACTCCTTCAGTCTCCTTCAACCAAGATTCCTGAGCATCAGGTCCATGGAGGGCGCAGGACAGAGCAGAGAGTGAGGCCCAGCCGTGCCCTTAGCGCGTTTTTAGCAGAGGAAGACACACACACAGACCTCTGGAGAGAAAACTAAAAGCCTGAAGTTCTCATATGCGCACTTAGGGTTTACTTGGGAGATTAATGAATCCTCAAAGAATTTGCCTACATAAGACTTTCTTTAGTTCATTTTCTAAAGTGTGCTAAACTTTCATAGGTAGTCAATGCTTTACATCAACAACTCACTTAGAACTTAATACTTGCCCCCAGCAGAGTGACTTTAAAAGCAATGCAGCTTCGCAAAATAGTATTACCACTTTTTTCGAATGAAGACGCAAGGGCCTGTGGGAGCTGTACAAAGCATCCAAGGGTGCTTGTGATTGCTTGGGCAGCTAAAATCTACCACAGCTCACATGGTTCCCAATTTCCTATAGCAGACCCTTTACCTTACATATCCTCATGCAAAACAGTGCCTTCCATGCATCAAAGTAAAGAAGCACAACACTGTCAATCATTAAAATGA